CGAGAAGCCCCCCATGCCACCCCGCCACACCAACGCCACCACATACAGCCACACCAACGTGGCCCCTCCCCCCAAGGCGGTGCCCCCTCCCCCCAGCACCATGCCGGCCTTCCCCCCACCCCCGCCTCTGCCACACACCAACACACCCGCACCAGCGCCGACACCCGCGCCGGCACCGCCCGTCAAGCAGCCCTCGCCTGCTTTCGAGACGGAGCGGTCTGCCAACGGCGGAGGGAAGAAGCCGATCACTGTGGAGGGGAAGCCGTTCTTGACCCTGGCCGACCTGGGGCTGCCGGCCTCCGTCGCATCCATGGGCTTCACCGACGTGCAGAACCCTCAGACCTTGTTCTACGGGGTGAGATGAGACAGACAGGGATGGGTCCGTGTATTGTGCTCGACTCATGTGTGTCTGATGTTGTTTGGTTGGTTGGTTCATTCAGCCAGGCGGCAACCTGCAGCTGCCTCCGTGCATCTACACGGGTCAGATCCCCCTGATGCCGCTGCCCATGAACATGAGCCTCACGCCCAACGGCCCCGCCATCAAGGAGGAGTTCTCCAACACCGACAAAAGCAGCAACATGCCTCCCGCAAAGGTGAGCAGACCAGAACAGAGCACCGGCAAACCATCATGAGCAACCAACCGTTGACGCCTTCTGTTTGTGCATCCCGTGTGCTCTGGTCAGGCTGCCCTTCAGCACTGGAGCTCGGTCATCTCAGCAGAGGCGCTTGCACAGGCGTCCCGACAGCAGTATGAGGAATGAAGTGCAGTAAAATGCAGTGCAGTTGCGCCTCTGATCTGATCTGATCTGGGCTGAGCTGAGCTGATCTGAGCCGAGGAGAGAGGGGCGGCAGTGCGGGAGAGACAGGTCGATGCGATGCGACGCGATGCGATGTGATGCGATGTGCCGATATGCGCACGTACGGGCTGGTGGGTGGGTGGGTGTAGTGTGGATTTAGTCCGCAACACAACACGAACGGGGGCTTGGCCTGCTGCATACACATACACACGTACACACATGGACACATGGTGTGGGCTGGGCGGGAAGGGAAGGGTGGTGCCTCCTTCATACAAACCAACAACCTTCACACTTGCTGCGCTGCGGGCGGGGAGGGAGGGTGGGAGGGAGGGTGCGATATCCAATGGATTTGGGGGCTGGCTGGCTGCCTTGACTGCATTGCATGCTCGGGTGGGTGGATGGATGGCTGGGTGCGTGGGTGGGTGAAGTGCATTCATTCATTGGAGTCTGTCTGCGTGTCTGCAGTGCATACAAACATACCTACATACCTACATGGCTGACTGGCTACATGCATTGCAAGTCCATAGGACAGTGCATGTGTGTGTGTGCGTCAATGAATGAATGGATGAAGTGCGTGTCGAGTGGCAAATCAATCCCTGCGTGCGTCGTACACCGGACAAGCCGGCATTGATGGATCAGTCAGTGTTAGCTGCGGTGGGAAGTGGGGAGGGCGGGTGGATTGGCGGGTGCTCGGGAGGCAGTTGCTGGGCTTGGCTGGCTGGCTGGCTGGCCAGGGCTGCGGGGAGGGGGGCGAAACCACAAGTTTGACCTTTGGGTCATCGCGTACGACACGACACGGGGCATTTTTGCTGGGTGCTGTGGGGTGGGAGAGAGGGGTGGGGCTGACCGCTTAATGCTCTTATTTGCTTTTGCTGCACGGCATTGCATGCACGATGGATGCGTGTGAATGAATGAGTGCTTCATCTGCATGCCTGCCTGCCTGCCTGCCTGCCTGTCCGCACCGCATGGCTGTCTGTCTCTGTGCCTGCATGGCTGCCTGCCTCCCCACCTGTCATGATACTTGCTCTTGTTTCCTCCTCCCTTGGTACGCAGTTATGTCTCAATTTTTCACTTCCTGCTGGGTGCATGGGCTGTCTGTCGTGTTGTGTTTGGTGGGCTGCGTCGGTGGGTGTGTGGGTGGGTGGGTAGATGGGGGTGGACCGAGATGGCATGGCATGGCACCAGGGGCTCAATGCTGCACACGAAACGAAACGAACGGGGTTTGGCACATACCAACCATCCATCCATACGCATGATGATGGGTCCGTGCGTGAGGGATGGGTGACGCATTCATTCATTCATTCATTCATTCTTTTGCTGCTCTGCGTGAGCAGACAAGACACCAGTTCCCATCCGTTTGACATCGTATCGTGACACTGATAGGCATGCTTGGACGGACATGCTCTCACAGCTGTTTTGTTCGCATCATTGACCATTGAATATGATCACTCATCCGTGTCGCCGGCGAAACTTCAAAAGATCTATCATTACCAGAAACGCACATTCCTTCCCGCATGCGTTCTACCTCGCAGTCCGCTGATCTACGTTCCAGGCCAAAATTCAGCAGCTGCATGCAAATGGGGGCGACACTGGGGGTGCTTCGTCTCGCAGTCTCTCCTCAGGCAGCTGTCATGGTACCAACGGCGTCTCTGATCCTGTTTGCTTTTGCTGCTTCCGGCCTGCAATGCAATGCCATCCTCCCGGCCTCCTTAGTCGGTCGGCATGTTGGCCGCCACGCCAATCTCAATGTGACAATCGCGCGTGCTGGGCCGTTTGCGAAGCAGCAGGCGGGGCTCGTCTACAAAGGATTCTACGAGGTGGCGTCAGGCGAGAGGGAGCCGTCCAACCGCCGGGAGGAGGGCTTCATGAAGCTGGTCAACAAGACCAAGAATGCTGGAGGGGGCCTGGTGGAGGACGCCCCTAACGCCACCAAACCTGTCTACTTTGATCAATGCCACGGTGATCGCAAAACGCACAGCGCACATGCAGACGATACATAGATCGTCCGGCCCTTCACATGTCTCATGCACATATATGTCTCGTCTTTGTGGTGATATATAGTCAACAAGTGGCTGTCGGGCAAGGCCCCCCCGTGAGTGAGAGTGTGGAGAGGCCGGGATCGGATCACATGGTGTGTATGTCTCGGTGCATCTGGTTGTCTTTGTGTGCACGTAGATGGTGTGACGAAGCTCTGGAGGTCCTGGAGAGCAAAAGACAGTCTAGGCATCTGCTGGACGGAAAAACCATGGCCATCATCCGCGGCAGCAAGCGCGACGATCAACTCGGCCACACCCGCCGGACCTTTTCTCCCATCGAGGACAAGGCCAACACTTCGCCCTGCACGGATCTCTACGACACCTCGGAACAAACCGTGGCCGTGTCGGGCGAGGCGGTGATGGGCGAGCTGACTGCTTTCACCATCCCCACCATTGACCGGCTTGAGCAGGGTCTCGCGTTCCCCTCCCCGCTGCCCACTTGGCTGCTGAAGGACAAGATCACACGCGGCACAAGCCACAGTGTGTGGGAGGGCTTCCCTGTGGGCTTTCCGGTGAACCCGAGACACTGCACCGGCGTCATCAGCAGAGGTGGCCTCGGCAAGTGGGGCCCCAACTTCGCCGCAGACTCCTTGGTCAGTAAGCGGAGAGAAACGGACGGACGGGAATGAGCGCTCACTCTTGGATGCAATGGTGTCGATGCAGTTGGGCCGCAAGGTACCGCACCTGAGATCTTCCTTGACTCTTCCTTTACTTGGCCTGTCACCTTGTTTCGCAAGAATCCCACGACTGAGGAGCTTGAGATTTTGCTCATCAAGCGCAAGGACAGCGGCGACTGGGCTTTCCCTGGCGGAATGGTCGACGATAAGGTGCGCCGCGTGTGGACAGACGAGAGACGGAGACACACTCGTGTCCAGTGTGGACATGCGTGTGTGTTGGCTGACGTGGACAGGAGTATCACACGCCAGTGATCACTGCCGCACGGTCAAGCATACACATACACATACACATACACATACACACGCTACACACACGCAATGTCTCGAGACTGTCTCTTTGCCGGTCGATCAGGGAGCTGATCGAGGAAACATTGACGGGCAAGGAGGGCGAGTCCATCTGCGACAACTGGAGCACCATCCAAGAGAAGCCGAGCTTCCAGGCCATGATGAAAACACTGGGCCTGGAGGTCGCCGAAGGCGACATCAAGTTCGCCTGCAAGAACGGCGAGGACAAGTGCAAGGAAGCCGACTGCGAGGTGCACATCTCGGGAAACGAGGAGCACGGCGGTGTCGAGACACTGCAGTCGTCGGCTACACCGGTGTACGCAGGATACGGTACGTACGTATTACAGGAAAGGATACCAACGTTGGTATGAATGTACTGATTCCCTTAGTGGATCGATGGCTCACCATTTGATTTACTCGTGCGTTCGTTCAGTTGACGACCCCCGCAACACCGACAACGCCTGGATGGAGTCGTTCGTTTTGGGATGGATGGTCCCTGACAACCTCCCTGACAACCTCGCTAAAGAGCTCACCGACCTGCCCGGAGGGTCCGACTCTTCCGAAGGTCGGTCGGCAACACATGCACACACACAGACACGCGCACACGGCCTGTGTCTCGTTCGCATCTATGGGTGTTGATGAACACAGTTGCCTGGTGGCCCATCCACAAATCGATCCCCAAGGGCAGCGGGGGGGAGGCCCCGATGCTCCAGGACGGCACTCTGTTCGCCAGCCACTCGTTCTTCCTCCGCGCCGCCACCCACTTCATCCTCAAGGAGAAGCTCGGCTTCGCCAACGAAGTCGAGATCAGAAAGGCGCTGGCGAAGGGTGAGTGAGTGAGTGGGGGGAGGGGGCTGGTTCTTGATTCGATGGTTTGTGCATGCTTGCAGCCGAGAAGCAAAGCCCCTACAATCTCTACTTGAAGTGAGTACACGTCGATTCATCCATGTCGCATTGGTGTTACCCTACTGACTGCCCATTCGGACCTCCCTTTCTTTGTCACCCACTGTCTTGTATTGTGTTATATAATGTTCAGGGCCTTCAATGAGAAGGTTTACTTCTGACAGTGCACACCTCCACATCTGGAAGGTCCACATCTGGAAGGAAGAAGCGGTCACACACAGACAGACTCGAAGACGTAGAAGCCGATTTCCTTTGGTTGTTTCATCACCCGTAGCTCGAGTCTCTGCAAGTATTCATGGCCATGGATGGATGTACTCGTGGAGACGCCAGGCCAAGAGACACAGACGTCTGACTGAATGAATTGGAGACCATCGCACGGATGCCGACTGACCATCGCACAGGAAGCGATCAGATCCAATAGACATACGTACATACGTACATACGTATGTATACGTGTACACAGCCGCTTCAACCGCATAACTGCACCACGTCTTGGGTCGACTGACTGACTGACTGTTTGTCTCTTCTCTCTTTCGATCGATTCATTCGTCTGGCCATCCGGCTGTCGGTCACTTCACACCATGCCGCCCAAGGGTGGAGGCAAAGGCGGCAAGGGCCTCTCGTTCGACGAGAAGAAGCCATTCACATCCATCCACCCACTGATGGATGGATGGATGTCCAACAAGGCCTGCCTCACTCACCGTCACACACACACACAGGGCGCAAACCGCTGAGTCTCTTGCGATGCGATCAATGCATACACTCACTCAGCTCCCTCCCTCTCCCCATCCCCCTCTCCATGGTCATGATCATGATCCCCCCCTTCCATCATGCCCGCCCCATCCCCCCACAAGTCATCAGTAGCACCACCGCCGGCCGCCTCATTCTCGTCTATGTCGCTCTCCTCGTCCAGCGCCCCCTCGTAGCCCCGCACCATCGCGCGAAGAACCACCAGGGCGGCAGGCTTGCTGATCACCGCATTGTACTCGCCGCTGCATCCATCCACACATTACATTCATGTCATGCTCGTGAGATGGGCCCCGTGTGGTGGGCAGCCCGGGTGGGTTGGTGGATGCCATTGGATTGATACCAGTTAGGGTGGCAGACGCATGCGGGGCATCCCTGGTCGCATGTGCAGTCGTTGACGAGCTGCAGAGCAGCCCGTGCGATGCCCCTGGCCTGCTGGAAGGCGCGCATGCTGATGCCCACACCGCCTGGCGTCGAGTCGAAGACCACCAGCCGCAGGGGACGCAGCCGCTCATCCCACGGATTGGGGCACTCACAGCCTGCAAACATCCATCCATCAATCCAGGAACGCATTGTGTGCGTCAGTTAATGCGGGTGGGGTGGTGTGTCGTGGTCGTTACTGATGTCGGTGCGGTCACAGAGGACAAACAGGGGGACGACAGCTAGCAGGGCGTGCTCGGCGCCATGGATACCACCACGGCTGCACAACACAACACACCCACACCACGTGGTGCGTGCACACCGAATCGAATCCAGCGTCGTTCGTGTCTTCCTTCCCCCTTCTCTCTCCTCGGTCACATGTCGAGTCCTCTCTTGTCGAGTTTGTCTCTCAGGGGCCGCTCGATGTCGAACCAAAACCCGTCGGTCTGGTAGGCTATGGGCGGCAGACCCAGCCCTACTGTCGAATCGAACGGCTGAGAGCTGCTCCTCCAAAACTGCATATGTATGATCACACACACCGTTGACGCCACGCACACGTGTGGTGAATGATGTACAGTGTGCAGTGCAGTATGCTGTGGGCGCCCAGGGCATGGCCACCAAACCTTTGCTTGCCCACCTACCTTTCGATAGCCCCAGACCTTGAGGCAGACCTGTAGACGGCCGCGGTAGGTCGATACCTCAATGCCGTCGATCGAGTCGTCCTGACATACACACACGGGGTGGGGTGGGGTGGTGGATGGATTCATGCGAATGAATGCATTCGTTCGTTAGCATTTGTTACACACACACTTGCTGGTTGGTTGTGAGGACGTCGACATCGGTGTGATCTCGTGTTCGCGTGTAGTAGGGCACCTTGGCGGGCTGCACCCGCGCCACCAGGTGGTGCAAGTCGAGATGCGACACTAAATACTCCTACACACACACACACACACATGACCAGAGGCAGACAATGCACTCCTCCCGTCCTTACGTACCTTGCCCCGATTCAGATACACAGCACCCGGATGGACCATGAAGAAAGCCTCGTGGTACTCAATCTCGTCAATCACCTCCTGCCCGCCCAGCACCTCCTCTCGTGGACTGGCGAAGAAGCCGCCCGCCTCGCGGCCGAAATCGACGTCGCTGCCCCACCCCCCGCCGTCGCGAGATGCATGGTCTCGACGGGAGCTGTCGATGGTGTTGGGTGTGGGGAGGGGCTCGCGGCTGCCTAGGGGCACTGGAACCACCTGGAAGCGCGCCTCGTCAATGTTCCTGTGTGTGATGTGAGAGGGAAAGAGAGAATGGGCAAGGTGGTTGACTGACGCGTGTGGCGCCTTCTGCGTGTGGTACCTACGGTAGGTACCTGAGTACGACGAGTGGGTGTGGGTCAGTTGAGAGGCTGCCTGGCAGGCCCCTCCCGCGGCTCTCACCGATGTCCCGCACAGGCTCGCCCTGCCGATTGACCGCTATGGCCGCCTTGCCCATCCGGCCATTCACCAATACACCCATCCTCCTGAACACACACAGCGCATGAAGCCGACCCAACACACATGGAGAGAGGCACGTCGTCGCGTCGCATCACCCACATACGTATCTCCCTCTCACCAACCATTGTGTCAGGTCTTCAATCGGCGCAACTCGCCCATCGGCGATCTCGGGGATCACCTCCTCCTCATCATCACTCCCTCCGTCCTGCTGGTCGTCGTCGGTGAGGTCGATCACCGGTGCTGCTGCTGCTGATGCTGAGGTCTGCTGCGGCATCTCCCAGGAGTAGTGTGACGGCTGCTCTGTGAGGGGGTTGTTGACCCGCGTGATGTTGCCGTTGGCCTCAAGCTCGGCAAGGATGCGTTTGAGCTCGGTGCGGGCGGCCTCCCAACCGGCCGTGAAGAGCTCGCCATCATGCTGACGGACACACAGACAGACAGATGGGGGGGGGG